AGCGCCATATGAAAAGCCGGTGAATAAGGATGTGTTAAAGCAGCATGTTGACGGGGGGATAGCAGCTAAAAGGATCTCCGCACTTTGCCCACACTGAAGTCATTACCAGTGGGCCTTTGATTTTCACATGCAAAAAGCTCAGGTTGTGAGGCCCCCATGTGCGGCTCGGGAGGAGTGTGTTTTCGACGCCCGTCTTCATGTGGTGTTCATGTCTGCGCTAGTCAGGGCCAGCTCAGGGAGGAAAAAAAAAAAAAAGAGGGAAAAGTGCTTGCTCAGATCTTTTTTTATTTTGAAGATAATTAAAAGATCCGATGGCCTTCGCACCCTGGTCGCTCTCTGATCGCTCACCGTCTTCACACTGTGATGTATATCGTGATTCTTTGGATATAAAGGATATGGTTAACAAGTGTTTAGAGTGCATGTGCCGACAGTAAAGGGACAATCGGTGTCTGCGTTCTGCATGATTAAGATTTTGTTGGCGACAGCCAAAAGGAGGGTCGGGAGAGGTCAGGGGGCGTGAGAAAAACAATCACCTGCTGTTCACTTAACTGCTTGGTCAACACCAAGCGTGGCCGACTCTTTGGCTTTATGCATACGTGCTACGTGTCAGTTCGGTGGTTGGAAACAGATGGCAACGACTAGTGTGTAAGCTCTCGACATATCTCAAACATATATTACAATAAAAAATATATATATATACTTACTTCTTTCTCCACTTAGCTGCTTTAACACATTAACTGAGTTTGTAATTGTTCTGATATGATAAGTGGCATGCATATCGTTAGGCAAATAGTATAGTGGCCTAGGTCATTGGAACATCTACGGAAAATAACTTTTTCAATCAATTTTTAATTGATATTGTAACAGCAAGTATAAAAATAAGTGTAAATAAATATGTACACACACATATATATACATATATATATATACATATATGTACATATATATACATATACATACATATATATACATATACATAAATATATACACACATATATACATATATATATACATATATATATATATATATATATATATATATATATACATATATACACACATATAATATATGTATATATAATATAATCTGTGGTTCCGTTCCGTTTGGCTCTGGGCGAAGGCAGATACTTTTTGCTCTATTCTTGCTCTCCTTCCCCAAAGTCCCTACTTGCTGACTTGGTCTATGCGCTGTCCTCTATCTCAACTTCTTCTAAGCTCCTGCTGTATTTTCTTCTGATAAATCAAACCATGAAATTAGCTGGACTCTCAGCACGACGGACACAATTTTTTGGGATGAAAAGAGCAGGCAGTGTGGAGCCTTCTTTTGGTTTTCTGATAACAGGTAACCTGCTGTTTGGAGTTGGCAGTTTCCTGATCTCTCGTAAAATTCAGTTTCATTGTAAGGGAACACGCTACCGTTTTTTCTGGATATCATCAGATGGGTGAACAACACTCAGACTCATGCGTTGACTGAACTCAATTGCAAAGTGGATGTGGGTTTGGAGTTTCTTCGCAAAATGGAAAAGAACAAAGATGCAATTGGCTTCTGGCCTGGAAAATGTGATCGATAATTCGGCTAATTGACGCCATTGAGAATCACAGGCTAAAAGACTTTGAAGGCTGGCTGAAATTGTTGCCAGCTTTCTCCCTAAACATCGTTTATCTGGACTTTCCCCTGGATGAAAAAATTCCTTGGACACTAGCGTTTCAATCAGCCCCGCACCCGTCCTTCCCAGGTCCGAGACCGGTATGCGAAGGACGTCTCCACGGAGATGATAAGCTTGGTGTTACGGCTGCGGACTTGACACGCATGATAATCACACTCACACAAACACACACCCCAGTTATCACTGCCTTCATTGGATTCCTACCCCCCCACCAACGATGAAACCTGAGCCGCAGACCGCTCAAATGGACTGAGCTACTCGTCAGACTGGTTGCATCACGTTCCCCCCCTCCCTCCTTCCATTCTCCCCATTCACTAAATGTCTTGAGATCTGTTGTACATGTCTTTTAAACGTACGCCGTATATGCTGAGGTTTTTTCTTGGGTGCGAGCCAGTCTCCCTCAAGGAGAATGGCTAAAGTCTGTCTTTTTTACCCCCCTCCGCTATCATTTTTTTCTTTCACGTCTCAGATTATGGGGTGCAAAAAAAAAATTTGATCTCCTAAAAGTAACCAGTGTAACCCCGTTCCTACCCCTATACCGCGACATAAACCCGCGAGTGTTTTTACTGCCATGAGCAGGGACAACTAAATGTCTCTGTCCTACTCATAAAAGACCAGAACAAAAATATGGAAAAACCATGCTCCATCAGTCTAATTTGAACTAAACCATTTGCCCCAGAGAGCATGAATTTGGCAGCATTGTTTGTCTCTGTCATGGTTTCTGTTATTGTTACTTTTTTGCTTCAGCCATGGTTTCTGTTTGTTACTTTGGATTCTTTTTGTTTTCATGCCTTTGTTTTGGATTTAGTTTCTTCAGTATTTTGTAGATACAATTTGTCAAGTTCACCCTGCTCCTCCTTCCTGCCTGCTTTTTGAGGTCCTCCACCACCATACGTCCGTGACAGGGTGTTTATAAATCTACATTAACATGTAATACAGTATACACGTCCATTTTCTAATCTTATACTAATGAGGGTCGCGGGCGTGCTATCCCAGCTGTCTTTGGGCGGTAGGTGAGGTACACCCTGAACTGGTTGCCAGCCAATCGCAGGGCACACATAAACATACAATCACTGGCACTCACAATCACAGGCCTGAGGATTTCAGAAATGAACAGAAACTTTTTGGTTCCGTTAGATGACCCAATGGGAAACCACTGTAACTAATTTTGGGTTCCGTAAACATTCATCATGGGAGCCCATTTTTCTATTTTGACTGGGCTCCCTGTCTCCTTATCTTAAGTCAACAGTCTCAAACTTGGGTCTTAAACTGGACAGTTATTTTAAACTTGACAGGCAAATTGGTGCCGTTGTTAAATCCAGCTTCTTTCATCTTAAGACAGCTGGCCAAAGTAAAACCTCTCCTCTCTCATGAACACTTTGAGACAGTAATTCATGCCTTCGTCACATCCCAACTCCATTACTGCAATGCACTTTACTTTGGAGTCAGCCAATCCTCCATTAAGCGCCTCCAGCTTTTTTTCCATTTCAAAAAAGGTAATTTTAGAGCTGCATTTTAATACTGCATACATGGCAATGGTGAGTGAAGAAAAAAGCGGAAAGGGCGTGGCCTGGCCGGGGGCGTGGTTACTTATAAAAGGGGCACTAAACATGCTTAAGATAGTGTATTGAATTTACACACTATTTGAAAATTGAACAGAAAAATATCCCAAGATCGCCACTATTCTTTCAAGTGAAAAGTTGTGCAATTTTGCTTATGCATTCCTGGTGAGCATATGTAACTCCAGATTTGCTGCTCAAAATCAAAACTAAAAAAAGTAAACACATTCCCTGCCATATTTAAGATTTGTTCATGACTTGTATTCACAAAGTATTGTGTAAATGTGATAAAAAGCTGTTGATTCTTACCTCATACAGTAACGTCTTTAGTTGTATCCGCTGACTAAGTTTGTTTGAAAAATGCCGATCCCAAAGAATAATTGCTCGGTCGAATGGCGATTTTGTCGGCATGTTTTTTTCACTTTTGTTGCATGATCTGTCAGTGCGACGCATCCACGGGAGCCAAAGTTAATTAAGTCACTCCAATACACACAATAATCTTTGCCTAAATTTTCATAATTCCGCTCAAAACGATCCCAGAACAATGAATTTGCGATACGAACAGGCCGCCATGAATCAGGTAAACAATATGTTACATGCAATTTGATTGGTCCAAGCGCTTGTAGTTAACCAATCGCTGGGCCGTATATATAATCGAGCTGTGATCTGATTAGTTAAAGCTTTCATACACGTCCAATCGCAGGGCTGTTTACAAACGGAAAACGGAGAGACTGTTCGGGAGAGCTCGTGAAAACTCGACGATAAGGTACCTGACCGCCCCTAAAATTTTCTCAACGGATTTAGACGATTCAGAAAAATGATCAATTTAAGAAATAAAACGGCGGATTTCCGCGGATCCGCGGAAAATTGCCATGTATGATACTGTGAGACCATAGTATTTTTGCTCACAATTACCATCCAGTCAGAATTTAACATCCTAAATTAGGCCCATGTCTGCTTGGGATTTGCTTGAAACGATTGAGATTTAATTCTGACTTGCACATGCGACTTACTCCCACCCCTGGCTATTTCACTAAGTACACCTGATCATATTGCACATAGCTCTCATTAAATGGATTGCGATCTGAATAAAGATGTATTGTAAAATTCGTACATCGACAATAAATGAAATCCATGTAAAATGTTTTTTTCCCAAAAAGTTTTATTGAAAAAGGAAGAGTATAAAGTCATACCAGTGAGACCTCTGCATCACTATAATACATTTCATTCACGTGATTTCACTCTGGGTCAGCAGAGTCCAGTGCATTCAGGAATCTCTGACACTTCGCCATGAGGACTTTGATAGCTTCTGTGAAGAGGACATTTGGGGGCAGAATTCCTGTAGACTCCACAGAAACTGAAAATGAAAAGATTAAATAAAGAACATGAAAAATTAATTGGAGAGATGAATTTCAACAAAATTGCTGAGCAAATTTGTGTGTATACACACACACACACACACTTCTTTGTTAGGTCAGCGGAACCGAGTGTGATTTATATGGGCCATTGGGAACAAATACCATCACTTATGTTTTCTTATCATTAATATTCAAGTCATAACTGCATGTTTTTAGGCAGCACTGAAGTTACAACTTTAAAATTATTTTTCCTCGTTGCTAACGAGAGATCGCCCCACAGGGACTAATCGATGGCTGCATCAGTTTACAAGTTCCAATACAGTGTGCACATGAAATGCAAGAACTAAATTAACTTACAGATAAAGTGGTCTCGCACACGTCCAAGTTTCACCACATTTTTTAAGTCATCATGACGGAGAATTTCTCTGCTGCATGTATCCAAGCGACTGTTGACAACTTTAGCGACCTTGCTCCCTGAGGAAAAACAGATATTAAATGTGATAACCTTTACATTTATTGTCAAACTAAATACTGTATTTTCCGCACTAAAAGGCCCACTGGATTCTGAGGCGCACCTTCAATGAATGGTCTATTTTTTAAATTGTTTTCATATATTGGACGCACTGGATTATAAGACGCAATCGACAATGCATCCACCAGATCGGTGGTGTCAAACATACGGCCCGCGGGCCGGAACCGGCCCCCAAGGAGGTTCAGTCAGGCCCGCAGGATCATTTAAAAGTGAAAAAAAGCATAAAAGGCACGGAATGAATATTTTTAATAAGGTGCAATTCATGGAGTATCCGCTAGGGGACACACTGTTTTGATCAGAGTAGAAGACAACATTGTTTTAATCAGAGAAGAAGAGAACAGCAGCCTTAGTCTGTCACTGAGACAGACCCAACACAGCAGACGCTGTCAAGGACATGTGATTACTTTATTCTTTACACATTTAATAGGACTCTCCTTGGTTTCTAAGGTGTAGGCAGGGATTAAATTTAGATTTTATATGTTCACGTGTAATGGTAAAAATCTCGTTTAATCTTAAAATGCATTACGATATTTTTCACGACCAATAACTTAAAGTTTTGTGCCTTGGTACAATCAGTGGGATGAGTTGCAATGCATATACTGTATATGAATGATAAAAGTAAATTGCACATTTGTTTAAGGAAATCTAAGGTGCTTCATTAAATGTTTTGTAAAAGATATGTTCATTAAATGTCAACATTTTCCTAATGTTCTTGTGCTTCTTTAGACCAAAACAAAGGAAAGACATATTATTTTGGTTATTTATAGCAGAATATGATATAATTTTAATGGTCTGGCCCACTTGACATCTACCAAGGCCGTATGTGGCCCACAATTTGAAATGAGTTTGACACCCCTGCACTAGATGGAGCTACACTCATTCCTTTCGACTCCAGAGGCGTTCATGACCGCCTCCAAAAAACGTAAATTAATGATCACAGTACTTCAATGAAACTACGAAAATTGAAAATAATGCATCAAAACAGAAAATCAAACGAGGAAATAAATTAATTCTATAGCCCCCCCTCCCCGGCATTTCCTTCAGCATCGCTCCAACAGAACGATCAGATATTAGTTAAATGTTGGAGACTGGACTGTCTCAGAAGTTTTTGTTATTTATTGTTTTGTTGTGTACAGTGATCCCTCGCTATTTCACGGTTCGTTTATCGCGGCTTAAGTGCATCGCGAATTTTTTCAAACGTAAAAAAAAAAAAAAAAAAAAAATTGTATATACATGGAGTACAGTACTGTATATGTTGCTCTATGTGACTCGCTGTTGTTTTGCAGCTTCTCGCGGACCGTTTGCGGACTTAAAAAACTTTTTTTTACCTGTATGTTAATTGGTCGCTACTTCGCGGATTTTCGTTTATCGCGGGTGGTTTTGGTCCCCAATAACCGCGATAAACCAGGGATTACTGTATTCACAAACGAGGAAATCACAAAATAAATTCTGTAGGGGGGCCAGAGAATTTATTTTGTGATTTCTTCGCTTGATTTTCTGTTTTGATGTACAGTATTATTTTCAGTTTTCGTAGTTTCATTGAAAGTATAGTTAATTTACGTTTTTTCTGAGGCGGTCATGAACAGCTCTTGAGTCAAACAGAAGAAGAGAAGGCACGGAGACGGACAAAGACGTACCTGTATTGAAACTGACTGAAAATCATTAATAAAGTGCGCGTTTTTAAAAAAACACCACAGCTCTCCTTTTTCCAGAGCTGCAACAAAATGTATTTAATAAAGCAGCGACACAGTTCACTGAAACCAACAGCAAGTTATAACATTGTCAGCATGTCTCCAGCAAGAAGCCATTTTGGGGCCGACATATTACCGTAATGACCATACACAAGGATTTTAAGGCGCGCGGTGAGCTTTTAAGAAAATGGAAGACGTTTTGATGTGCCCTATAGTGCGGAAAATAGGGTACATTATGGCAGGGATTGGTAGTTAAGTTTGGCCTCGGCCAATATTCGCTCCTAACAATTCAATCACCAACCAAAATTACATTTACATCAGACAAACTCATTTACTAATAGAAAGATTAGATCAGAGGTGTCAAACATACAGCCCGAGGGCCGGAACCGGCCCACAAGGAGGTTTGATCGGGCCCGCAGGATAATTTAAAAGTGAAAAAATGCACAAAAGACATGGAATTAATATTTTTAATTAGGTGCAATTCATGGAATATCCGCTAGAGGCACACACTGTTTTGATCAGAGTTTTCCTCTCAACATTGTTTTGATCAGAGAAGAAGACAAGAGCAGCCTCAGTCTGTCACTGAGACAGACCCAACACAGCAGACGCTATCAAGGACGTGAATACTTTATTCTTTACACATATTATAGCACTCTCCTTAGTTTGTAAGGTGTAGGCAGGGATTACATTTAGATTTTATATGCTCGTGTAAATGGTTTAAAAATTCCTTTCTTATAAATCTCGTTTAAAAGTGCATTACTATATTTTTCAATACCAATTACTTGTTAAGGTTTTGTGCCTTTGTACAGTCAGTGGGATCAGTTGCAATGCATATATGTGAATGATAAAAGTAAATTGCACATTTGTCTAAGGAAATCTAAGGTGCTTCATGAAATATTTTGTAAAAGATATGTTCATTAAATTTCAACATTTTCCAAGTGTTCTTGTGCTTCTTTAGACCAAAACAAAGGAAAGACATATTATTTTGGTTATTTATAGCAGAGTATGGTAGAATTTTTAACGGCCCACTTGACATCTCCCAAGGCCGTATGTGGCCCACAATGTGAAATGAGTTTGACACCCCTGGATTAGATTAACAAGAGAGAGAGAGAGAGAGAGAGAGAGAGTGAGAGAGAGAGAGAGAGAGAGAGAGAGAGAGAGAGAGAGAGAGAGAGAGAGAGGGCGGTGTAGGTAGGCTGGTAGACCCTAAAATCTTTCGAACACCTGCCTTCAAGCCTTTGGCCACTAATTTCAGTGCTTCTGCCATGATTTTGATTTTTTTTTTTTTTTAAACCCTGCCCTAAAACAGCAACACCAGCATATACATGGACAACGTTACCATTTCATAAAAACAAAGACCAGCTCTCGTTAAGGCAGCATTGATTTTTTGGTGATCTTTTTGAAAAACCGCATTTCGTTTTAGGATTGACTGAGATTCTTCGTATCAGTAGGGAAGTAACAATATCACAGTATGAATCTCACAATACAAACAATAAAAAGCGGAACCGGATAACAGTAAGCACACGGTTTTGCAGGAAAGTTCATGGTACGCTGCATGTGCGTTTTCCCACAGGATTTTGTCAGAAAGACATCTTCAAATGTATATCATCATGTCCTTCTGTCCCTGTCCATCCAATGTTTACATTCGTATAACGCCAAAACTGCGACAGCAATAATCATGCAATTCTCACTATAACATTGTCCACTGAGAAATTATGTGTTCACTATTGTGACAGTATTTGTCATATATTTTTCATTTATCACATTAGAAATTTGACGCTGTATACTAAAAGTGATTGAAGTCCAAAAACTCAATTCAAGTCAGAAACAGAGGAACACTCAATGTAGACAACATGAGTACAGAAAGAGCGAAGTAACAAATAAAATAATCAACAGCCCGTCCATTGTAGCAGCAGCCAAGTGGCATATAGAACGTAATTAACTACGTCACACGCATGCGTAGCTCGAGTGGGCATCCAACCAAATTAATTACACAAAAAAAAAAACAAACAAACCACACGTGCGGCCGGCGACCGCCATGAACTAAAATGTACTCGTCGAGAAGAGGGGGGTCCTTCCAACTTGCTAATGAGCTTATTTAATACACCAAAAAGATATAAGGCACATTATAACTGAGGTCAACAGAAACGAATGACAATATGTGCTCGGCCAATTTCGCATCAGCTAACGCTGCCCCTCTTGCTTGACCTCAATGCCACGAGCACCCCCCCCCCCCCACACCAAAAAAACGGATTTGGGCTCATCTTGAGAATAGTCATTTTGGTCCAAAAAGGTTGGAAATCGGCAGAAAATTACACAGTACCGTATTTATTCTAGTGTTCACTCATTTCCTAACTTTCAAGTCGAGGTAATCTTACCGTTATCATCTTCCAGTTCTATAACTCCTTGTGAAAAGCAACGTTTGAGGCGTTCTGCCTTCTCTCCCTGCACTGTTTCAAGGAGGGTGATCTCTGGCAGGAGGCGGTAACTTGCTGTGGCCACAGGAGAGAACTTGGCGTGATCCTTCCCTAGTCGGTGAACAGAAATACTTCAGTATTTAATATAACGCATTGAATCCACAGTGCCTGTACAAGCTCGAATAAACCCATTTATTCCTAGTCATGTTATAAGAAACACACTTGAGTTCTATTAAACACTAATTCTCAAATGGGCAGTTCTGAAGTCGCAGCACAGTATGAGTCGGCCTCAGTGGACCCCCACATCTTATCTGGCATGGACCGGTTCATGGAACGACTGAAATTTCCCAGACCGGCAACCATCTGTTGACTACAGTGTGGCAGTGGGAGTACTTTCCCACATTGACGCCCAGTTGCTAACATTCATATTACAGTGAAACTCCTCTACAACAAAATCATGTATGCAGCAAGAAATTTTTCACAAAAGGGGGTTTTTCACTGTAGCAAATTTGATCTCAGATGTAAGCACACACACACCCACACACACAAACGTATGTGTACACGCACACACAAACGTATGT